TTTAAGAATGTGTTAATTAGCACGGTTAAGAAACGATATATTGTTTGCTTTACTTAATTATAATATATTAGAGGAAGAAGTATTCGTAATTTTTAAATTTGTAAGTTTTTAAAATTTAATAGTTTATGACGTGATTGAAATTAGTGGCTTAACCTGTCACAGATTACGGACGTGGCAAGAAATTTCAAAACAAACGTGTTTCTCAAAAATCAGTATAAGTAACCACTTTTAGTACTCTAAACCCTAACATTTACACTAACATAAACTAGCTTTAGAGAACTTTTGCTGCGCCACGAACCTGGTGCATATTGAAACATTTTAAACAATTGTAAATCAAATAATCATGATTTTTAAGATTACGTTTTAATACGTTGCGTTACTATTACGTATTGTCACATGATATTAAATTGCGCAACGTAGTTGCACTAAAACCGGAAGTTATATTGATATTCGTACATTTAAACAAGTTTTTTTATGGACAATCTCTCCTTTTAAAGCATTTTTTATAACCGATTATCTCTCCTTTTAAAGCATTTTATATGTATCGATATGTCCATCTTTCCTTCTAAAGCAATTCATTAATCAAGTCGTAACCCGTAAAATATACGAATTCAGTGACTATACTACATACTATTGCTATGTGTGGGATTTATCGTGTAACATTTAATCAGTGAAACATGAAAGATCGCCAAGTGTAATTAAAATCATTGAATTTTTAAAGTAATAAAACCTTACATTTGTGTTGGAGTTATGGGCTTATCTTGTCCCAAATTCGCGGCGAATTTTTTGTTAATACGCAGAAAGCGATTTCATTGATATGATTGGTGCACCTACTAGATTTGTGACCCGAAACTATATATATAAAATCCCGAAACCTTTTCCGAAACTCTAATACTATACTGAAAGGCTTAGAAATTTAATTTTAGACTTTAAGACATTAAATACATGATACGTAATTGGATTATATTTCAGAAATATTTTGTTACTTTAAAGTAAATGTCATTAGTTATAAAATTTCCAATTTGAAGGTTTCGGAAAGGTTTCGTCTCGGGTCACAACTCTAGAACCTACGTCCTATTCGTAATTGCATAGATGCATATGATCCAATTTGATCAATCAAGATACGAATAAATAATCAATCAGCATGCAGATCGAAAATACGATTTCTTTATTATATGGATATTTTCAATGGAAACAGCCCATTTTTACATAAACAATTTTGTGTAAATCGATTTTAAGTAATGATCTACAACTTATTCATAAAGCTTTTTACTATATAATTAGCTTTCGTGACATATTGCAAGCTTTTTTTTTTTGAATTTATATCTATTCAAAAATATAATAAAATAAAATTTTAAAAATGGGTTGTTTCTATTGACAACACCCCATATACTCTAAAAATGATAGAGAATACAAGATAATAACCCATCTTTCATACAATAGAGCTACGTAATGCATGATGTGAAATACAAGTGCAGAAATTCACGTTTTTACTGCATTTAGCACATTGTCCAATCAGGTATAAGATGTTGCGGATGTTCGTATGTACATACGTACGTATTTAAAATGCTATAGTAACCATACACTTTGTGATATTTACACTTTATTCATGGTACAACGAGCAGTTAGCCAATCAGACAAATTTCTATCTATGAACACAAAACTTAAAAATACGTACATGTTTGTACAATGATAATGCTTTATAATTTCCTTCTAAACCTCAAAATTTAATCATAATACACCATTTGTCTAAGATGACATATAACAAGTTTGAAGATTCCAGGCATATGCCTAGCACTCAAAAAGAGGTCAATGAATCTGAAGAGGAAATTCAAAAAGGTAAAATTTATTATAATATAATTCAAAGTCAAAAAAATTATATTTTTAACGTATATCAATTCTTTATTAATCTACTTCAAAAGCATTAACAAACTCATACAATTCTTATATTCCTTTCAAGAGTAATGATGGATTTATATTAAATTTATTTCATTATTTTATTAAATTATTTAATATTCATTACGAGACAGCATATGTGGTTAATACATTGAGGCAATACTTTATAGACAATAATGCAGATCCTTTAAATACTTTTAATAAATTAATTCATCATCAAAATCAATCTTACTTTACAAGTATAATTGGTTATTTTTATCAATTTGGAATTGGTACAGAAATTAGTTATAGATTAGCGAGCAAGTTTTATTCACGATCAAATATTCAAGATAAAAAAACATCTTATTCTTTAAATAACTCGGATTCATTATTTTTTAATGATTTTATTGAAAATAATTATAATATAGGAAAAATTTCTCTAGCTTATTTATATTTTTATGGTATTGGAGTTAAAGAAGATAATCAAAAAGCATTTCTTTTATGCAATGAAACTATCAAAAATAATTATGGTTTAGGTCAATATTTAGTTGGTAAATGCTTCGAAGAAGGTTATGGTGTAGAAAAAAATAATAAAAAGGCTTTCGAATGGTATATGGAATCTGCTAGAAATGGTTCGCCTCTTGGCCAATATGGACTTGGACGATTTTATCAATTTGGTATATCGATTAATAAAGATGAAAAAATGGCTTTTGAATATTATTCCAAATCGGCTGAAAGTGGTAATTTACATGGACAAACAAATCTTGGTTATTGTTACGAGAATGGTATAGGTGTTATCAAAGATAAAAAGAAAGCTTTTGAATTATATCTCAAATCATTTTTTAGTGCAGATATGTCTATTGCGCAAAATCACTTTTTATATTATTGTAAGAATTATATAGGATTTGAAAATGATAATAATATGGCACTTAAATGGCATTTAAAATCTGCAGAAAGTGGTAATATTGTTAGTTCAAACAGCCTTGGATTTTGTTATCAACATGGGATTGGTATTAACAGAGACTTTAAAAAGGCTGTTGAATGGTATTTGAAATCCGTAGAAGGTGGTAATTCTAATGGTCAAAATAATCTTGCATGGTGCTATTTGGAAGGTCATGGAGTTGTTAAAAATGAAAAGAAAGCATTTCAATTATGTTTAAGTTCGGCTAAAAATGGTAATTATAATGGATATAATGACCTTGGATCGTGCTATCAACATGGTGTGGGTGTTACTAAAGACGAAAAAAAAGCATTCGACTGTTATTTAAAATCTGCTAAAAGTGGTAATTCTTATGGACAAGTCAGTCTTGGATTTAGTTATTATAATGGTGTTGGCATTGATATTGATCGAAAAAAAGCATTTGAGTGGTTTTTGAAATCTGCTAAAAATGAGGGTGTCGTTGCACAAAATCAACTTGGTTGTTGTTATCAAAATGGTGTAGGTACTAACATAAATGGAGAAAAAGCATTTAATTGTTATATCAAATCTGCTAAAGGTGGCAACATTGAAGCGCAAATCAATCTTGGGCAGTGTTATAAAAATGGTTTCGGTACTTCTATAGATGAGGAAAAAGCGTTTATGTGGTTTTCAAAAGCTGTACACAACAAAATTAATAATGTCACTTGGGTTCAGTACTCATAGACAAGTCCATTAGAAATCTTACTCATTCATTGAGTCAAATAATGATATTGCTGTAGTTTAAGAACTAGTTTAACCCGTAATTTCGAAAACTTTCTTTCAACAAATATTAATTAAAAATAAATCTATGCTATATATGGATTCTAAAACCTATGTAGTTTGTTGAACTCTACTCTATATAATGGTATATGTGATTGTTTAAATTCGCCATTCTCAGTAGACAACTTTTCGTACTTATATAACCAAATTGAAGAAAGCTCACCATCAATCTCTTAAATATTTTAATCTATTAAAAAAGAACCCACTCAATTATATCTTCAATCTGTGGTATTAATTTGAATTTCTTTTATAAAATCATTAATACTGTATGTTTATTTTCACTTGTCCATTCATGAACCATATTCGAAGAATCGTGTTGTGTAAAATATTAAAGTTGGATTTTTAGTCCGTAAAGCGTACGTACTATCAGACTGTAACTAACCAAGTTGTGTGCGGATTATTGATACAGTAGAATAATCATGAATTTTACGGCATCTGGTCAACAGGAGAAACCGTCGAAATTACACGACTGATTCTTGGTATGCAACATATAAAAAATTTTAATTTACAATATCAGATTATTCCGCTAGTACATGTTATGATCATAATCCAACACCATCTTTATTGTAATAAATGAAATAATCGGGTATTGTAAATTAATTTTTTTTTATATTTTGCATACCGGTGAAGGATCAGTCGTGTAACATCTACGTTTTCCCCTGTTCATGCGATCAGTTACGGTTGCAGTTTCGATCAAAATCACATTATCCCATTGTGCATAATACAATTAACTTCATACATTAATTTGGATTAGTGTTAGTTAGTATTAATGGTAGACGTCGCTTTCAAATGGCCGTCGATAGATTGACGTACCTGAGTTTAAAATTTATACTGATTAAAATGTACCTTACGTCAAATTTTAATACAGATTTATATATAAACATTTTTTTAGAAAAAAAGTTTGATATTTTCTTTGCAACATGGTTTGAATACTTCATTGGTTTTTCATTTCTTTACTTTAAACCTTTGAAAGTTTATTGGAACTATAAACAATCAAAACAAAATAAAACATACATAATGGAAAATATAATCGTTGTCTAACCATTTTACAGCAAATCCAGTGTTATTACTAGTGATGGGAAAAATGCGTGAATTCGCATTAATGCGCATGATATCGCATGATAAAAAAAAGGCAAAGAAAAGAAAAAACGATCGAGAGAGAAATCTTGATGGGATAAAATGCGCGTGAAACGGAATCATGCACACGTATGAAACCCATCTCTAGTTATTACCAATCGAGAAACCCTGTTAGAGACGTTACGCAGCGATCATCAAAACGTGCCCGAAAACGTGACCAGAAGTGCAATCTGGATCGTGACCTAGAACCAGCGACCGTGTAACCCGATTTCTCCCATTGTATGCAAGAGAAGCCACAAGATTCGGAACTACTATGCTACGCTGGGTCCCACAAAAGGGGGTAGTAACTAACCTAAAAAGGAAGAAAGAATTAGTAGAATCACCACAACGCGCAACAAGGAAAAGGTGAAGATAACTTACCTTCACGGGCTCGCAACTGAGCCTTAGTACTGCGAAGACGTTTAGAGTTACGAGACTGTAACTCTATGGGCGGGACCTACAAAACAGAGAAGTTGATGAAAAGATGGATGCATGAGTCAAAGGATGAAATTGTGCAATTAAAAGAAAAAGGAAACATTTAGTACAGAAAAAGGGAAAGCGTCGCAATATACTTCACTGACAATTAGTTCCTCCTTTCTGACATTAAGAAAAGAGAGACCCCTCTCCTCCCTACTCCTGTAATAAAAAGCAAATAATAATAAATAAATTATAAAAAGTGCCAAGAGAGATAAACGTTCTTTAAAAAAGTTCCTATCATTACCTGGTAACTTGCTCGAAAGCCGCCTTAACCATTGCCAAATGGTAACCGCCTCATCTTGCCTTCGAGTAACGTTATACGACATCGACGAAATCGAAGTCGCATTTGCTTTATCCTTGAACTCGCCCTATTACCCTGTAACGGTATCCAGATTATTTTGCACATTTATTTGCGCCTGTGATATAAATCTAATTAAGGAAATTGTCTTATGTAAATCACAAGATCAGGTGTAAACGCTGGTGTAACATGAAAATGATGGAATTTTCATAAAATGGCCGCTAACCAACTTCTCCATAAGAAACCACCCTTTTACATTTTAATAAAAAAAAATTCCTCGCAAAATTTAGTATACGTTAAGCTTTCCTAATCCCAATCCTAACCCTTACGCCGTGACTCTCCCGAGTTATTTATACAAAAAAAAAAAAAAAAAAAAAAAATCCTATTTTGGGATTGTATCACCAGCAAATAAGTAAATCCGATTTTTGGAAACTGATTGCAAATTATGATTTTTTTATGATATAAATAACTTTTTTTTTTTTGTTTTTATCGAATGAAAATGTAAGGAAATAAAGATTAAAATAAATATACAATACCATTAAAATAACTTTAATATACAATTAATTTTTTGTCTTGCATTGTTCACAATATAGCTAACAAACTTACGACTTTACAAATTTTAGTGCATTGAATAAAAAATATTTATACATAACTAAATAACACGAATAAAACGATATAACATACTATATTTATTTTAAACATTAAAATCTTTTGTATTCACAGTTAAATTAACAAGTGACAGAGTATAAATATTCACGAACTTAAGTAGCTTATTTAATGATCGATCAAAGTCTTTATACCTAACAAATAGTATTCAGAATCGATTCCGAAAACGACTAGTTTTTTCTTTTTTTTAAAAAAAAAATTTTAATTTAATGCTACAAGTGTATACTCACTAAATTAATGTGAATAAACATTCGCAAACTTGAATCACTTATTTAGTTAATTAGCCAAATTAGCATGAATCGATATGAGGCACTGAACAACTATACATAAGTCATATTTTTGTGAATTCAACACGGCAAAAAATCTCAAAGTAAAAGTGAAAGTCAAAACGAAATCAAAGCAAAAGCCATAGTAAGGCCAAAATGAAAGTGAAAGTAATGCATAAAGAAAATTCAAATTCGAAACTCGAGTCAAAGTGAAAATCAAGATAAAAATCAAGGTAAAATTCTAAACGAAAGTTGAAGCAAAGTCTAATAAAAGCCAAAACAAAGATCAAAACAAAAATCAAGTGCTACTATAATGTTCACTAATTAAACATGATAAACATTATATACCGGCAATCAGTTTTCTAAGTCATATGTAAAAATCTGGTTACCATTTTTCTGGGCGATGCTATGTAAGTCCCAAACGAGGGCGTAATCACATGATATTCCGACCTCCAGATCTCATTTATCTATGTAATGCAGAGCCACCGGATTCTAGTGTGAGCCGTAGGACTGTGATTCCGGAAGGAGGTGATCGAAGTAATACAGATGGGTATGTAGATCATATACCTGAAATAGGTATACGTAGTATACACTGTATTCGCTGTATGCTATGTATC